TGGGTAGGTAACCTCGTCATCCGGGCAGTTGATTAGGGCGGTCGTCAACGGGCCGCAGCGCGTGCCAGGAACTATTTGCTTTTTCCAGGCTAATTTAGTCATTTTTTCCAACTTTTCACTGTTTTGGCTACTTTTTCCCAGATTAGCAGCTCCTTGTCTTCACAAGGTGGTGAAAAAAATTCCTAATTAGCCTGGAAGAAAGCAAATGATTTCCTGGCATGCGCTGCGGCCAGTTGATCGAGCCGCGCCCTAATCATACTGCCGGATGACGCAGGGTATAGGTTTTTTGTTTATAGTCTCACTGCGCGATAACACGTTGGACAGAAAAAATGGTGGAGGGTCACAACCTCCGTGACTTCAACATTGTTCTCCCCTCCTTAACCCCCTCCCCATCAGTACCAAGGAGAGCACACCAAAAAAGAGGACGCGAACAGCCATACGTTTCTTCGCACATCCGATTATCGCGAAATGTGCGTTATTCGAAGTGAATTCCGTTTAGTTACGAACATTATTTCGTGAAACCTGTAGTAGCAGCTCTGGACGTCATTGTGGATAATTTGGAAGTGGTAGATTCACGTGACATCGAAATGTGCTGTGTAAGTTCACCTTTCCTCAGAGTCATTGTTTGAAAAAACAGTTTTCCTTGGTTTTTTTTTTCTTAATTTTCTCAGTATCACAGGTAACCGCTGTTCAGCATCAGTCTTGTTCTCTGCGGGGCTGGGGCTTTTCAGAAGAGCCTGTACTTCACCAACTGTGGAAACTGGCAGGCGACCACAACTGGTGGACAATAGACTGGCGCCGCGCCAAACTCAGCTCCCTTGAAATGGCCCGGCGTCCACAGCGAACAAGAGTGTAAAAGGGTTTGACTTTCATTCTGTTTGTTCAGAGCTTGGTACTGCCGTTGCTACAGTTTGTGGGAGATTTCGATCAACACTCATTTCGTGTACCTATAATGAATAAATGCCAACAGCTCGTATACTTATTCCCAAGCCACCTAAGATGTATCCTTTTCAAGGATATTATCTCACTAATTCTCGAAGTAGGTGTTTCCTAGATGTTCCTCTAATTTTTTTGTGGCCTGACAATGGTTTGCGGAAACTGTCTCATCGTCGGATGTGTAGCAAGAGGTCCCAGGCGACGTCGTACAGTTTGAGTATGCGGCGTTCATGGCAACTGATTCGAAGCGATCGCTCAGTGTCGAAACCAGAGGAGACGCAGAAACTGCGAGATGTCATGCGCCTGGATGAGAGGAAAGACAGTGAAAGGATGACACTCGAATCAATAGCCGTGGACGCCGCAACGGGAGACGTGCAACAGAATCGTCCGAGGCAGCGCCCGCCGCATGCGGCGCGTCGCGCGATGAGTGACGCGGTGGCTACGTCCATTTGCTAGCTGATAGCTTTGCGATTGGAGCAGTTGATTTATTACAGCATAGATCCGCAACGTTTACCAAATTCTTCAATAACTGGAAAATCTAACGATGTTTCTCTCGATAGTAACAGACAAGGAATTGTTTAGCGGATCCATAAACGCAACTTCAGGAAATAAACAAATACAAAAGAAATCAAATAAGGCAGTTATTCTCCCTATGTTTGTGTGATTCACATGATTCGCGCAGTCGTCAGCGTCAACATTTAATAGATGAATGCTCAAGTTTTTCCTGTGAGCTGCTGCAAAAGATGACTCACCAGAGCGAATGTAAAGACCCTATTACAGTTCATGCTCTAATGAAAATTTTCATTATTTCATGGAAAAACAAAGAACGAACTAAAACGCTAAACCGTTAATTGTGCAGAGACTCCGAGTCGCTAAGTAATTAATCAATCTTTACCGTCCCTTTCCCATCCCTAGTCGAAGTGGCCAACGCATTGATTCCCTCTCGCGCAACCAATGGTCGCCCAGGAACGGCGCCCACGAGTGCTTCGCACCGGACATTCTGTTGCCTACCACACCGCCCGCCACCAAAATGCGCGACGTGTGTGTCGGGACTTCTACTGGCATAGGTGAGCCTCGAGTCAACTGCTTACAGAGAGCAAAATGCTGCTCATCCTCCTCCCACTCAAAAATGTACTAGATAAAGCAGGAGTCTGAGCGGTCACATCAAAAAAGGGGTCCTAGTCAAGCTGCTGTCAGGAGGACTGGGTTCGGCGCGGTCAGCGGGACTGGATTCGCGATCGCGAACCGCTCTTCCACTACTGTTGAAGCGATGCAAACGACAATGACTGATGGGTAAGGCCGGTGCCGCCCACCAAAGCCGGACCCCACCCCCCCCCCTCTTATCGGAAATGTCGCAGCCACCCCCAGCGGACAGCTATGACAGATTTGCTGGTGGCGGCGCAAAGCTTCCGGCTCGTTCAGGCTGCGTCCGTTAAGCATCAGCCAGTGGAAAAGTATATCGATCTAGCGAACGGCAGTATCTACCAGCGTTTACCAGCGTCCACCAGCGACCATCAACGTCTCGAGAGACTGAAAAAATATGGATGATCTAGCGTCTACCAGCGACCATCAGCGTCCAGGAGTACGGTATTGTGCAGCACTTCGGTACTTTTGCACACGCAATTCCACGACGCCTAATCTAGCAGTCTCCTCCCTCCTATTTCACCATACTCTACCAGCAGTCTGCTACGCTCCTACTTTCCTACTCTCTGCACCTGGTTGCTGGTTCATAGTTCCTTGAGACGCTGATGGTTGCTGGCGGACGCTGGTGGTCGCGAGTGGACGCTGCCGCAAAATGAACGCAGCCTTGTATGTGGCACGGCTTGGACTCATCTGTCCTGCCGTACGCGCCCATTCCCGCTGCGCTCTCCTGTGGTAGATCAGTGCTAGCCAATTCGTAGATAAATTTCATTACCATAAATTCTTTTATTGTTAGATAATAACACTAAATATCAAGGTGTTATAGAGTAGTGAAGAGTTGGTGAAGTGAGGAAAGAAGGGGCGGGGGAGAGACATTGGGCGTGTGCCCTCTTATAAGGCTGAGCCTACTGGTATAAGGGATTGCTTTCTTGGTAGGAAACGCAGGCGTGCAGGTCCTACGTGTCACCCCCCCCCCCAACTGAACTAGCGCCCGGTCTCTCACAAATATACATTTCTATTCGTCCATCAGTCTTTACAAATTTTTTTGCAGGAGGATTTCGACGTAGAAAACGAGGCAACTCTAATAGCGTGGTTTGTCGATCTCTTCAGAAGGTGTTTAGATGAAGAGCCATTCCGTAAGGAATTGGGCAGCTTCTTAGGGTTATTGGATGGTATTCGCTATAACGATATGATAAATTCAAGCAATTATTATTCATCAGTATTTTGTTTGAATACAAACAATAGCCATCAAAAGGTGGGTAATTCGTAGTTCGATATCTTTTTGGCGTTCTAAGGGGTAAAATTACAGACCGGTCCGCAAAGCGGTCCTGAAAACTGAGAAAAACGACCAATTTTTGCTCATTACAATCTCGCTCGCTTCGCAAGATGGGGAGTGCCAGAAGGATAGGTTGGCGCGGCGTCAGCTCGTTTTTCCTTTTTTATTTCGGCAAGCAACAAGACTGCACCATATCGCTTATTCGCTGGTGGAAAACGGGTTGGCAGCGCGCCAAGCCCAGCCTCACTAACACGCCCCTTTATCCGCAGCGGACAAGAATGTAATGGCGGAGTCGGGCCCACCACCATGTTTTCCTAATTTGTGCTCCTCCGATTCACCGCCCTAGCGGAGACCAAATGATGAGAGCGCAGTGGTGCGTCTGACGCCGCCCATACAATCAGCACGGACCGCGTTTCCGAGGGGCTCAGAGTTTTACTCTTTTCTACTGCAGTAACGTTTCTTATGGTGTCAGGTATAATTCCGTCGTGCTTCTTAATGTTCAAGGACGTTCGTTTTTAGGTTCAATTTGGCAATGCTGCAAGAAGTGGAGACGCGATTAATTGAAAGTATCCATGCTCAGATAAAAGATTACATTCAAATGGAAGAACTACGTGAAAAGGACAAGCAGAAATTCAAAGAAACGGTTCCAAAGTTCCCTAATGACGTCAGTTTTGGGCCGCCCCCACCTGAAGGATCAGTTGTTGAACAATTGCAGTTGTTAATGTTTGGCTGTGAACAGGCGAGGAAATTCATTGCGGAAGCGAGGAACTGCGAAAGGTGACGTTCATTTAAGTATGAGAGATCTGAGACCAAACCCGGTGCTACATTCCCATTATTATTCCGGTGTTAGTTTATTTTTTGTTGTTGTTTCTACCAGAATAAATTATTTTCGAAGGAGTTCTCTATATTTGCAGTCGTGATCCCTGCAGAGGATGGCGCGTGTGGAGGGGCGTGAGTTGGACCGCAGCCAGCGCAGCCCTTCCCACAATTGTTGCGGGCTCAAAATGGCTCAGTGATGGAAGGGCCGCTTTGGCAGCGCTCCAACCACACCCCACCACACGCCTACCGTTTACAGGAACCGTGACTGTACCGAATTTCAGACCATATTTGTAAGTCATACCTTCCGTAAATACAGGCCGGGTTCAAGTTCAACCATCCCATCTGTGTGCGCCCATGCGTTCCTCCACTCACAAGCTTGTAGATGTCCTCCTATTCCTTTTTCTTAATACAGTTAGCTGCTAGTAACTGATGTTCAAGACAATTCTGCTATCAGTTCCCCAATTGGTGTGAGGTCTCGTTGGCTTACGGAGCAAGGGCGAAGAAAATGCACATTAGCGACTTTGGCTACGCCACCATTAAAGCATGGAACGAAAGCAATCGCTGTCTCGCTCAGTCATCAATTCCTTCTTGGGATGCGCCATGCATCCTCATTCCATTTAAGAATACTACTAGCTGAGCTCAATCAGACCTATATAATGACTTGGGGAGGTCAGCTGATGTGGAAACCAGCTTTTGTCCTCCCAGAAAGCTACGGTACCAAGTAACACACTGGTAGAAGGGTCTGCAAGGGCGGAGACTGCTCATCGTTGCAGAGCCGTGGCCATGGGTTCTTACTGAGCATTTTCAAGTCACGAAAGTGGAACATCGTCATCGGTTCCCCCCCCCCTCCTCCGCTCACCTATTTCGTATTGCTTCCCACATTTCCGCTCTTCTGGCTCCTCTGCAACTGAACGAATTATGAATTTTTCAACTAACCATAAGTGGCTCCCGGCTGTGCGCTAGCCCCACTAACAGGGGGGGGGGTCTAGTTCATGTGTGTTCATTACCTCTTGGTCCATGCCATATCCAACCCACTCTTAACCCTGCCACTCATACTGGCCCTTCAAATGATGCCGAATTTCCGGACAGACAGATGGTCAGACTTCTCCATATATTTGTAGTGATCGGGGACCGCACCACTAGCGCAAGGAAGGGTGGCACCACTTGCCCAAGGTAGAGGAGGGAGGGGCTTTTTCCACTTTCTATCGACAAGGAGACGTGTTAACCCCTGTATAGCTATGAAATGGCACTCAGCGAACCATTAACAGGCCACCTTCTGAAGAACTGACTCGTGTTCAGCCAACACAATCACCCATAATGAAGCTTGTACCATTTCGCGGCACTAAATGAATTTACAAGCCCGGTAACTGTGGAAACTGGAGACTAGCGAAAGAGCAGCCCCTCCCACCTAATAGCGCGAGCAATGCCCGAAGGGCTTCTGTTGATGCAGACTCAGTCTGTGAATTTCGCAATCGCTAGTCGTACTAACCAGGGTTGAAAACAAAAGTGCACCTTAGCGTAGCGTCCCTACATCACAATCCTGCGAAAGAAATTTTGCAGGATTGTGAAGTATGGCCTACTTCCACTCC